TTGTGTACCTCCTTCCGTAAATGCCTTGCCTTGGGCGTGCCCGCAAAGGTCCGATTCTAGGGGAGGACATGTTGTCTTTTCCGGTGCTTGCTTATGAGGTATGGCAAGTAGGGCTCACAAAATGTGGACCACGGGGCCATGAGGTCCCCGCCAATAAACCTTTTTTTTTTTTTTAAATTGTGTAATATAATCATTTGATCAATAAATTTTCTTTTATAGTTTTTTGAAACAAAACAATTAATGTGTATCATTTGCTTAGAAAACTTATGCTCTACAATTTTCCTTACGAATATGACGTTTTTCACTTGGTTCGTCGTATTTAGAAGTTAATTATATATAATGATTTTGTTTAAAATAAATTATAGTTTTAGTCTATGGGGTTGTCACATACTCTGTAATTAGAGATGGCCAAATGGGCCCGGCTCGGCCCGGAACCGCCGGAGGACCGGGACCGGGACCGACAAAGGACCGGCCCGGGACCGGGACCGGGACCGGTAAGGACCGGTTATGGGACCGAAAACCGGGACCCGTTGAGGTTTTTGGTAGTTTCGTGGGACCGGGACCGGTTATGGGACCGACTATGGACCGGCCCGGCCCGGCCCGAAAATTCAATTAATTTTATAAATAAATGTATTTTTAAATAATTTTATAATGTATTTTTATAAGAAAACGTAATTTTAATTATATTAAAACGCATTTTTAAAGTGCGTTTGAGTGATCCAATTGTAAATTTTATAATGTATTAAAAATATATATCATTAAAAAAATAAAATAAAAAATCTTATTTTTTTAATGAAGGACCGGTTGGGACTGGTTGGGACCGGGACCGGGACCGGGACCGGCAGCCCATAACCGGTTATAAAGTACCTATACCGGTCCTATCATTTTCGACCGGGACCGGGACCGAGACCGGGACCGGTTACGCCGGGACCGATTATGGCCGGTTATGAGAATGGTGAGGACCGATTGGGACCGGCCCGGGACCGGTTTTTGGCCATCTCTCCCTAGATTAATTAAATATTTTTGTTATGTTTTTAGTTCCTTTTAATCAACTTTCCTTAACTTAAAAGGAGTACTTTTTTTTTCTGATTCAGAAAAACCAGACTCTATACATATGTTGTATTCTCGGTGTATTGTGAGCTGGCATAAAATAATGTTAAATAATATTTCCACAAAATACTCTTTAATTGAGTCTAATAATTAATGTTTGAATAAATAATTTAAAAAAAAATAATTATAAAAATTCGCACCTCCATCTCCATGCAAATGACCAGTTTTAGCAAGTGAAATGTACGTGGTGGAGAACCAAGAAGGCAAGAAGTCTGTTGCTACGTGTCACTCTTTAAGAGGCTGGCGGGACCCAGGATACGAAAGGGAAAGGATAGTTGAAACACGAAGCGAGTAACGCGACTACAACAACTTACTCGAAACTCTCTTATATATGTATATGTATGTGTGTATATATATAGAGAGTTTGTTTTAAATACAACCTATGGTATTTGTACAACTAATGCAACTCAATAAATTGAAATATTTATGAAAATGATGAGAGTTCATTTATTATGATTTAAATATTTATGAAATATGAATACGGTTCATTAATTATGATTAATACTTTATAATAGGAAATAATCAAAACTTCTATAAATTACATATTCATCAGATTAAACGGACGATTGAGATTGGATTGTATTGGTTGTACAAATATAAGAGGTTGTATAATAACCAACCCCCTCTCTCTCTCTCTCTCTCTCTATATATATATATATATATATATATTTATGTGTGCTTGTGGGCACTAACAAAGTGGTAAATGAAAGGGCATTACCGTAATCCGATATCTATAACAAGAAAGTAGGCTATAAAAGTGGAGCAGCTCCCAGTCCCACTGGCAGCACCCAAAAGAAAGAGGGTAAGCCAAGGAGAAAAGAAAGGAAGCGGATATTTAGGTACGATTTTATTTGGTAATCTGCAATTGTTGTTCCTGTTTTTAGTTTTGTAGAAGAAAGAAAATGGATGAAATTTATCTCTACCATCTGATCTAACTCTAACTGTTTGTTTGTTTTTCTCCCAACACCTAACCTTTTGATTTCTGATTTTAGACCATTGCTATAGGAAACAACAGACTGACACGCCTTTATGTTTTGTTTTGTTTTGTTTAATTTCTACACCATTAATTATAATTTATAAATATATAATAATAATAATACATGATATGTATTTAGATTTCATAGTGACCCTGTTACTAATCCTATATTTAAACTCAACCCTTTACGGTTAAATTAACATTAGTCTTATAAATTATGATTTTACAAAAACCAGCACTAGATACACATCATCTAACTTGCAACATCTTCATCTTCATCAACTCTTAATTCTTTTTTGCTTCCTCTTCTTATTAGTTATTACAATTTACAGAAATAATTTCATCCATGGAAAATGAAGCAAACGCCAAACCTCTAGGAATCCGATTCTTAGAATATACCAAAAAATCAAACCTCTCATTCAAAACCCACCAAGCCATTGTCCTAATCATCACATTTTTAGCATACACCACCTACCATGCTACTCGAAAAACCACCAGCATCATAAAGAGCTCACTCGATCCTCAATCATCCCTCCTTTCATTCTTGCAAACTTCCAAAACACTAGGGAGCGGCTGGACTCCATTTAACGGTGCAAATGGGACACAGTTGCTTGGTGATCTCGACCTGGCTTTCCTATTTCTATATGCCATCGGTATGTTCTTCTCTGGCCATATAGGAGACAGAATCAACCTAAGGATATTCTTGACTATAGGAATGCTTGGAACTGGTGTCTTCACTTCATTATTCGGAGTTGGCTACTGGGCAAACATTCATATCTTCTACTATTACTTGATTGTTCAAATGGTAGCCGGCTTATTTCAATCCACAGGATGGCCTTCTGTGGTTGCAGTTGTCGGGAATTGGTTTGGAAAGAGCAAGCGAGGCCTCATAATGGGTATTTGGAATGCTCACACATCCATGGGGAATATTTCGGGTTCTTTGATGGCTTCCTATTTCTTGAACTATGGCTGGGGTTGGTCTATGGTCGTTCCTGGTTTCATCATTACCTTCGTTGGATTGCTGGTCTTCTTGTTGCTACCTGTTGATCCTGAATCAGTACAAGTTGATAGAGATGAAAATAAACCTAACAAGATGGGGCTAGATATCACCAAACCCCTATTGAACAACACCACCAAGAAAGAATCACCAGTAGGCTTCATGGAAGCATGGAAAATACCTGGAGTTGCCCCATACGCCTGCTGCCTCTTTTTTGCCAAGTTGGTTGCTTATACATTTCTGTATTGGCTCCCGTTCTACATTAGCCACACAGGTAAACTTGTTTTTGGGCTTTGCTTACTACTTGTACTTTTTGCCTGCTAACATTCCTTAGTTATCTTCTCGGTAATGTTAATTGGATGGTTAATAGGTTCTGTCATTAATCTGTGATATTTGCAGCCATAGATGGTGAATACTTATCTAACCAGGCTGCTGGTAATCTATCTACATTGTTCGACGTTGGAGGTGTGGTTGGAGGAATCCTAGCCGGTCACATTTCCGATCGACTGAATGCTAGAGCCATCACAGCAGCAACCTTCATGTATTGTGCTATTCCAGCTCTATACCTCTACAGAAACTATGGACACATATCTGTGACCATAAATGTCGTCCTCATGTTAGTTACGGGCATGTTTATCAATGGGCCCTATGCTCTCATAACAACGGCCGTCTCGACTGACCTCGGGACCCATCGATCCCTGAGAGGCAATTCTCGAGCCCTCGCAACTGTTACAGCAATCATCGATGGAACGGGGTCAATCGGCGCTGCAATAGGGCCGTTGCTTACAGGTTACATTTCAAACCAGAGCTGGACTGCAGTTTTCACCATGCTTATGGTGGCGGCTTTCGTGGCGGGGTTGTTTCTTACCAGACTCGTGGTGGCAGAAATAAGTACAAAATGGCAAGATCCACGACGTGGTTTAACAGCTGGTATCTCCAGGTCTCCTGTAGTTGAACAAGTGTGATCGCCTCCAAGGTTTTTCCATATACAGAAAGAAGACGCACTTTTGTACATACAATGCTATATACATGATTTTAAATCTATTTTGGTTAATATCTTGGATGAATGCACCTCAAGTTCTCTGAGTACCTGCTCGTTTATGTTCTATGGGCCATGTTTCTTGTGGTTTTAATGTTGAGAAACGAACATTCATAAGGTAGTAGATATGCTTGCGCAGTTGTTTAAAGAGCACGTTTTCTATTTCAAACTTGGGAAATTGTCATCTACAATCTATTTCTTCGTGTGGTTATGATGTTTTTGAAATAACCATCCACGTGATACCAGAGATGTCTACGACTCACGGGCAAAACATTGCACCTTAGTGAATTGGCTTGAGGAGCGGTTAAGGCCAAAACTGGTTGTAGACACAACTCCGATAACATGTGAAACTTCATCAAATTACTCTCGAAAAAGGCTCTTGAAGAGAGAAAGGGGTTCCGAAAATAGTCCAAGTATAATTGATGTGAGACTCCAACACGCCCCCTTCAAATGCCCAAAGTGTTGAGTCCTTAAGAGGGGTAGACATTGGCTATGATATCATGTGAGAACATGTGGGGCCCTATCAAACAAAAAAGCTCTTGGGGAAAGAAAGGGGTTCTAACATATATCGAGGAAAAATGGTACAAGTCTAGCCAATGCGGGACTCCAACAACTAGGACGTGATTTGGTTTTATTATAAGGAGGAAGGAACTAATACCTCTGTCCATCCCCACTGTCATTCAAGGCCACATGCGTGATTGCGAACCAACACTTCACACCAATAAATGTTAAAAGATAAGATCCCATGGTCCCTTGGTTTCAGTGTCACAAAGAACCTTCAACCATAAAAGGTATATTTGAACCAAGCTTTCAATCAAAGCAGGTTTCACTCGTAAAATCAAAAATAGAATCACATTGGCATGAATGAGCTTTAACAGCAAACTGAGATAGGAAGACTCTTTAGGCATTTGCAATCATATTGGTACAAACATCTACAAACTCATGTTTATTTTTAATTTGGAAGACCATGCATATATTTGACTACAACCCATCTTGGAGCATGCAAGCAGAAAGATCAGAAAGGTAACAAAATTTTAAAGGGTGTCGTAGTTTTGTATACATGGCAGAACAAGAAGTAGCACAGAACTCGGGTGGCCTTTGACCTATTTGGTAATGAGTGTCTTAGACCAGTGGTTGCGAAACTCATCGCTAACAGGTATTTTGAGTGTTCCAGAAAGAAAAAAACACAGACCAGTAATTGAGACAACGAACCACATCATACAAAGGAGCCACTAAATTTAGGATCTCTTAAACAATATGCTATATATATCCAAGCAAAAAGGATTTATCTTTGAGCCACTAAAGTTAAGAAACAAAAATGGCTTTCAAAATGAAGCAAGCAGCGGCAACTTACAACTATGCCCACTTTATGCACATAAGAGTTAAAACACAACTTGTGACTGTGAGGACCACATGACATACACACAAAAAAAGGAGTATTTTAATGCTTAGATTACACTCCAACATGAAAAGTGCAAGGGAATGTTTAGACACCAAAACTACTAATACATATAGCGTGCCTCCTAGAATTTATGTCTCCAAATAAAAAGTTGCTATTCCTTCAGTTTATCACAGAACACCATCCAACATCTGCAACTTAAGCATCATCAAGAAACAAATATGTATGGGCCATTGGTTATCTGCCCAGAGAACCAAAAGCAAATAAGAACAAGCTTCAAATTCTGACTTCAGATTATTTCTAAAACAACTTAATATACCAAGTCCTACTTACCGCTCCCAAGTATTCATGTCTCCTAAAACAAACTACACAGGAGAATTATCAATTATGTTATGAACCTCTTAACCGGTGAACGTATTAGATCTCAACTAATAGGATTGGTTATGGAGAAAATGGCTGCCCATGTAGATACCCCCAAGCAATTTGTTGTTTGACATTTGACGATGAAATGAGCAAAGAAAAAAAATCTGTGTCTCTTATGGTCTATGATAGGGAACCGAAAACAGAAAACAGAGTAGTAATGAACAGTAGATGAAATGGAGAAGAAATAGGAAATTTGTATTAATGAAGAAACAAGAGCCAAACGA